AAACAAAGCAGAATCGAACCTATGTTGATATGAAAAATAAATCTTATTTTTACGTGAGGAATCTCCCCGCCCACGAGAGATGGCACATGTTTTTTGACACACCCTGTATATAATAGGTATATATTGAAGTGAGCCTCCTTCAAGAAACACTTGGTATACAGGGCGGCCTATTGAATGCCGAAAAATGGCAAAAACTCGTAGTGAAGTTAACGTTATTAATACTTACTTATATTTTCCTAAATAAGGATAACAAAATGAATCCGTGAAGGAAAACTCTGATTATCTGATACAGGGTATTTTTTATGGCGTGGCCAACATTACAGTATTTATAACGTTATATTTTTTTAAATGCCGCACCCTGTATATAATATTTCTTTTAGATGCAGAATTGTGTACATAAATTTTTAACGGTTTTGCAAATATTCGCGGTTTTATATTAGTTGCGAATTGCGACTTATAGACGCAACAGAGTGCTTTTATGATTAATATTGTCATTACAACGTAAAATAATAAAATTGGTAATTCTGTTGGCAAACTCTATTAACCTCAACAATAGACATTAATCGTCATACATAGTTTCTTAAAAGTTGAACAAACTTTATCTTTTGCATTGTTATTTTTATTTCGTATATATCGTTAAACGGGAATAGTAAAAAATTATGTGAAAGTTTATAATCAGCTTTGAATTACTTATGAATCTTGAGATTTTTTTTTATTAAATTAATTATCGTTTAAAAAACGATTCTTTTGTTCCCAGACGTATTTCTGTGAAAAAAAATTATCTAATATAATTTTGTTACGAGATAATGAGGTAATTATTAATGCGTACTAGACTGTTTATAGTTACTTCTAGTGGATACATTGGAAATTTAGGTAAAATGTCTAGATAGATATGAATCTCAGACGTTCTCTCTTTAATTGTACTTTTATATTATTAGGATATTTAAAGAATCCAAGGACAAATAACACCCGAGAGCAAATTGTGCCGATGTCACCAAACAGTGCCGTGGCACTTATTTTTCTTAACGTAGCTGTTTGAAGCAATATTTATATTTTTTGATAATTGTTTTAACTACGCCTATGGTCTGTCATCCTAATTAATTACGAAAAAAACGTATTAAAATTTTAACAAATGGTACAAAACTAGTATCGACGTATAGCACATATCTAGTACATATAGATGTTAATTGAAATTAAAGAATAATTATCGAATTCAATAAGAAAACGCTAAAAAGTTGGAGTGGACTGTTTATTTACCTATGAAACGTATGTAACTCCTTGCTCTTTCTTATCGCTACTGCTTTTACACTTGAAAGCTGAACAACTAATCACCATTGATATAAAGTTTATACAAAGTTTACTACACACAAACTATTAAAAATCGTTAAAATTGTCGCTGGTGACCAAATGATGACTCATTGTTTGCACCAAAAGAAAGGTCTTTAAGGTCACAAATTCTGCTGCAGTCCGTATAGGGGCGTTACATGTCCTTATATTCTTTAGTCATTGGTAATAACTTATAATTTTGTAAACAAAAAAACTAGTGATGGTGTCATGTCACGGCCTTGAATTTTCACTGCCATCCCGCGTAAAGAAGTTTCACTTCAATAAATCTAATAATAATATAATGTCCAGACAATCGGACGGATACTGCATAATTATAATTATTCTAGATTTACTATTAATTAGAGATGAGCAACAAATCGCAAACTGCGATTCAAGCACAGCGATTCTAAAATCGCAGTCGCAAGCTGCGATTGGCTCTCATAGAAAACTGCGACTGCGAATTTTTCTATTTGCGATTTAGGCAACCAATATTACTATAGTTGCGATTTTGCTGCGATTTGCGATTTTGTTTTTGATTGTGATTTTGCTAAACTAGGACCGTGATAACCTTCTATCTGCGAGTTTGAATATTTAGGAGTTGCGATTTGCGATTTTGTTGCGAATGTAAGTTTGTGGTCCATTGAAGCATTTTATAGTAAACTGCGATTGAATGTTTTCTCTGATTTTATTTATTTATAAAGAAGATTTTATTTTCTAGGGCCAAGATCAATAATATACCGGGTGTTTTTTAAGAGTGATTTGCCTCTATAACTTTTTTATTTTTCCTGAAAAAAAAAGAGATTTGGTATGTAAGCATATGACATAAATTAGGATTGATTGACGTATTCATTTTGTTTCGATCACTTCCTGTTTCACCGAAAATAACTACAACTTTTGATTTATTCGATAGAAATTGACACTCTGTATAGAATGTCTAATACAATATTTTAATATTAAAAATCGCAATAATATCGCAGTTTACCAGTCGCTTTAAAATTCGCAATCGCAGTTTCAATTGCGATTGGAGAATCGCAGTTTTGCTCATCTCTACTATTTATAAATAAGTGTATCGTATTCTTTCTTATTTGTTGGTAAAATAATTAATTACTGTGTGATATCTTTTCTACGCGTGTCTTTAATTGTGTTATCTATAACTGTGTGCCTATATTTTTTAAGTGATGGAATAATGACGACATCGACATATGTGTCTAACCAAACCAAAACAAAGCGCAAATGATAAGAAAAAGACACAATTAGAATTAAAATGGTCTACTCGATTTTACTGCTATATCAATAATTGAATAGAAGATAATAAAATTATGAAAGCCAGCATTTATAAACGACTTATTCTAAAAAAAAACAACAAAATTGTTAATTTGTTTGTTCGTTAATTTAATTTCTTGATAAAAAAACTTGCTATTTTGGTTTTGGTTTAGTTGTGGTAAAGCCGAGTCTAATAAATGTATTATAACTCTGTTACAGATAAAGTCTATATCATAATATATTTATTTTCATTTAATGGATTTATATTAATCGCTTATTTAAAAAAAAGCATATAGTCTGTGAAAAGGATTATCCTGCTAATTCCATTTTTGACTTAATTAAATAATACGTTTATTCATTCGCCTCGGTTGATTATACGAAAACGGAAAGATGTAGAAACAAAATATTTTATGGGTATATTTGGGAGAAAATATGCACGATTCAAAAATTATTTTGAAATATACAGGGTGTTTCAGAACTAAGATCCATACCAAAGTTATATTTTTTCTTATAAAACACCCGGTATTTTATTTCATTTTTGGATTCTTCGGCCCAAAAAAAGGTATTTATTATAAGGGTTAGATATGTTTAAAATCTTTGGTTTTTGAAATATTTAAAGGTATTTAAATTTGCATGCTACAATAGAATAGATTATTAACACCCTGTACATTACTTTTCAGAATTAATTCTTATGCTGAGTTTAAAGATAGAGAAATAAACTTTACTGAAAAATGGTATTAGTTCCTTAAATTTATACAGGGCTATCAAAAGTTGCTGATCATTTAGTAAAATCGATTCAAAATTAGTTTGAAGTTCTTCACGAGTCTTCCATGCTGCCAAACACATACGATAGTACAGTCTGTCCAACGACGAGATCCTTGACAGTGATAGATGTGTTTGTCATTTTAATTTCAAAGTAGTTTTTTTTTACAAAGAAATTGTTGGTACAACTGGAAAGCAAAAAAGTTGGTACAACAGGAACGCATAGCAGGAAATTAATATATTTAAAATTTGACTAGTAAGTGATTACTTCAAAATATCGTGAAAAAAACTGTATAAAACTGAAATAATGTAGTCGAGTTATTTTATTTAAAAAACGGTATGTGTTAATACAAAACAAACGCAAGAACAAAACACCACATACGAAAAAAATATAAATAAGAACTATTTCTTACTTTCAAGCTTCAAGAAACTTTCCGCATTTATTATTATATTTATCAATAGGATATCTTATGTAGAAATACAAATTTATAATATTCTACAGGAATAAATAAAACAAACTAGTTTATTAATAATAACACTTACCAAATTTTATGCCTTAGAGGTTGAATGTTAATTATTAACTTTAATCTTAATCTCTTTAAACCAGTACCTTTTTGCCATTAATATTGTGCAGTACTAAAATCCATTATTTACCATATTATTTACCTATCGTGTGATTTTGGCAAGACTTTGACAAGCCTCAAAAATCTAAAGGCGAGTTCATACGCATCGGCGTCCGTTTGTCGTTCATCGTTCCGTCAAACCAATAAAATTAAAATATGTTCTATCATTTTTGAATTAAACCAATAAAACTGGTTAAAAACGACAAGAGACGACGTATGACGGATTTATATTTAAACCCATCCATAGTTAACTTAAAAAATATTAAAAAGTTTTTTTAGTAAAATAAATAGATTGGTATGGGACGTCATTTGCTTTTCTTCTGTCATGGTCTATCGAAATCTTACCTGAGAAAAAAACAGAGTATAGTTGCCAACCAAAATCATATTATTCTCAAATGTAGCCACGGGTAAATCGTTAATGTAAATTAAAAACAATAAGGGCACTAATAATGAGTCTTTCGGAACCCCCTATGGGCCAATGTTATATAGTTGATATCGGTTTATAAGATAATCAGCCAATAATTGCAAACTCAAATTATTTACTCCATAATATGACACTTTCTGCAAAAGTATGTTGTGGTTAAAACAATCAAAGACCTAGGTGAGGTCACAGAAGACCGAACCAACAAGACCGCTCTCAAAACCCTCGATTATATTATCTTCCTTCAAATGAATGCAAGCCATTGTTGTAGATTTTTCCTTGCGATACCCAAACTGATTCCCTATTAACAAGTTATTAGATACAAAGTAATGTGCTAACTGATGTTTCAGTTAATATTGAATTTTTTTTAAGTGCTAGTATTAAAAGTGTAGGTCCATAATTATTCACACTTTCAGGATCACCTTTTTTAATTGCTGGTGCGATTTTTGAAATTTTTTAACAACTGGGATATGTTATATGTGCCCTCCTTATATCTTCTCATAGCTACGTTACCTTCATTCTCTTCTCATATACGAGTATCTGTAGCTAGACGATTCCTAAAAAATGAAAAATATGAAATATGTATACCAAATTTATTTTTTCAGGTTTTCGTCTATGTCAGAGCATATCACAGAGGAAGCCCTGGGAGATGTTGGTTTTAGTTGCAGTTATGGCACTACTCCTTGTTGGTCTGACGACTATTTTGGTTTTAAGAACTTCTTCAGGTAAAGCGGCTGCGTATTATGAAGAGCCGAGTATTATACAACCTGTATCATATGATCCTGGTAATAAGACCTGCAATACCTCTTAATATTTTTTATTGTTAAAACTTAACTAAACGCTACTCAAATAACCAATGTTAGAGTTTGGAAAAAATTCAACTGTATTTTCATGTGTTTTTAATTTTCTCTAAAACGGTATGGAAATTTGGAAAAATATGAACGGAATTAATTATTTCAGATCTAAAAAAAAATTTAATGAAGAATGCATTTTTCTCAAAATTTCAATAATAAAAAGTTCAAAAAATTTAACTATATCTTCATATTTTTTTTTATTTTCCCTTAAACGGTATGGAAATTTGGGAAAGTATAAACGGGATTAAACATTTTAGAACAAGCAAATTTTTTTACAGAGAACGCATTTTTCTCGAAATATCAATAATAAAAATAATCATTATCTTTAATATAAAAAGATGAAAATCTTTAATTTTCTTTTATAGATATCACGGCTGAAAGCGAAAAAAACAATGCCAAAGTACGGATTACTTCTAGACAAGAATGGGTAGCACAACCACCAACTAGAGCAATTAACAAACTCGCTAAACCTGTGCCAAATATAGTTATGTATCAGACAAAAACAGAGAACTGCTCCTCCCATGCCCAGTGTGTATTTAGAGTTAGGTAAGTAAATTTAGAACAAATTGTTGGAGGGAAAATTATCGTTATAGAAATAAGTATTCATGATTATTATTCGTCGTATTTTCCTGTTTTATTAAAATAATCAAATGATGCTCAGGTTATTAAAAAAAAAATGATGTTTCACAACACATGTTTTCTCATTTAAACTCTAGTGCACTTTTTTACTTTGACGACACTATAATTTTTTAATAATTTTTTTTTTTGCTTTTGGTCCTAGTCAACAGACCTAGTAAGTTCTGGTCTCGAAGCAGATCTTCTTGGTATAAGATTTGATTTGTTTAATCTTCCTCTTACAGTACTTTCACTTAGTGCGGCGTTACACGGTCCGTTTTTGCAGGTCCCGCACTGCGGGTCCCGTTTTGCGGTATGGCAATATCGCATGAGATGGCGTGGCAGATGTAACACCATCCGTTTTTGCGGGATGTGCGGCGACATGCTGCCGCAATGCAGGATTGCGGGATGCGGGAACCTTGGTGACGACACAGTCAGTTGAATGTAAACTGTAGCACGGTACGTTTCTGCGGTATGCCGCTTTGATCGCGAAAAGCAAAATATGTTTGATACGGACCAATTTATCGAGCTAATTCGTGGGCTACCTGCCCCTTGGGACAAATCAAACCCTGAATATTCCAACAAAGATGCACGACAAAGGGCATGGGTGAATCCTCATTGTCGTGTTTTGTTTCGTGATGCTGGGTCTCAATATTTCAAACAATACATCAAAAGATTTTTGAGACATCCGATAATAGCCAAAGAATTTATCATTGTCCTTTCGAATTTTAGAATAAAATATTCAAATCTTCGTCTTCTTTCGCGCTCGGAATTAAAAGGATGAACCCAGGTTTTACGGCATTTCGGCTCTCGTAATAAATTTTTTAGCTTCAGTAATAAAACAATGTTTAATTTTGAAAGGGACATAGTTCCTTCGCCTCTGCCACACAATATCAAAATGTGCGTAGTAGCTGCACGAAGGTCCCGCAATCCGTTTTTGCAGGATCGTATAATTGGAGGCCACGATCCGTTTCTGCGGCATCCTGCAAAACGGGATGCCGCAAAAACGGAGCGTGTAACGCCGCACTTACAGGTACTTTCCTTAAGCCAGGTCTCCACCAAAGCAACTAGTGTTGTCGATAATGTTGCCGAAAATTCAATAAAGTCGTCGACATTTTATGTCGCAAATTTAAGTCGCCGACTTTGTTTCATGTTTCGCTTGAGTAGCGGTACATCAAAGAAAAATCGTGTCGACGACAATGTTTACAAACATGTCGAAAGACGTCTCCACCGAATGAACTCCTATCAGTAGTACTCCTATCACTTTATCGGGTATATTTTTTTATTTTTTTACTTTGGTCTTATTTTTGTGTTATGAATACTTACCTTTAGATTTTCCTTCAGTTCAGCTATTAGTGCATCACATACTTCTGGTATTATTTTTGAAATCGTCTGCTTTCCACATTTGAAAAGATAACCAAGGCTAGTATATGAATCCCCAGAAGCCAAAAATCTAAGCGTAATAGCAAGACGCTCCTGAACAGGAATTGCATCTCGATAATTTGTGTCCATTTTACAAATCCTGGGACCAATCATTTGGAGCATTAATTCACTGCTTATTCTTTCAATATGGAGCGGATTTAAGTCATCTGTACAAAGATCAGTGAGCAAGTCACTATCAATATATAAATTTCTCTTCCGGAGGCTAGGACGTATCCAAAAACGACGTTGCCGTCTGGCTTGACGACGCTCATTTCGCGAAATAATAAGGAATGCGGCTGAGATTATAATTACATCCTCGTCGTTCCTATGAAAACACTAAATAAACTTTCGCTCTTTAGTCGAAAAATGAAGTCGAGCAACAATATTTCTTTGGTAGGTACGATCTACATTTCTCGACAATATTTATGAAAATAGTAACAAAAGTTGATGACAATATCTTCGACATATGTTGCTTTGGTGGAGACCCGGCTTTAGGTGCAATTCAGTTTGGTAAAGTTGATAATACGAAGGTTCCCTGGTGCAATTCAGTTTGGTAAAGTTGATAATACGAAGGTTCCTGAACGTCTAGCATACGATCTTGTTCCAAAGAAGCAAGTGCACTTCGTGCGTAAATCTGTTAGCGACGTAATTTTGATCCCTGTCATCTTCAATTAAAGCAACTATAGCGGATACATCTTCTGGACTTAAAGCCATTTCTGCTAGAGTACCTGCCCAATAGACAATAATAATATGAGTTTTCAATAACAATGACATTACATAAATCATAAAGACTACATAAATCATAAAGACATTTCATAGGTTTATTGGCCAAAAGCAAAAGCATGGTTTTAATGTAAAAATTATGAAAAAACATTAGTGTCTTGTTAAAACGCGAATATCTATCTCTTCTGTTCAAAATAATTGAGTAGAGACGAGATAAATTGCTGATTCCGCCTATTTAGTGGATTTATTGTAAAAAAAATTAACTAAACAAAACGCAAGTTTATTTTCAAACTTCTCATAGAACATTCAGAATAAGATTGAAAATTGCAAATGTCAGATTTGAAAAAATTATTAAATTGAAAATGACAAATAAGTATGGGATGGGATATTCCCATCCCATACTGAATTCGTTATGCACTGCGGCCCTGCTACAGTCAAGTGGATTAAATTCTTCAATGATATATTAGAATCCGGGAATTTACCTAAAGCCTTCAGGAAGACTAAGATCGTGGCCTTATTGAAACCGGGTAAAACAGGAAAGCTAGCCGCTGACTATAGGCCCAACGCGCTGCTGAGTGTGTGCTATAAAATACTCGAAAGGTTAATCCTTAATCGTATTTCAGAGCGAGTAAATGAGCATATCCCCATCGAACAAGCTGGCTTTAGAAAAAACAGGAGCTGTTGCGACCAAGTCCTCTCGCTCACTACGCATATCGAGAAGGCTTTCCAAGCCCGTCTCAAAACTGTCACAGTTTTCGTCGACCTGACTTTGGCTTATGATACGGTCTGGAGAGATGGAATGGTATCAGGTCATAAGTTCATTAAAATCTTCCCTTGCAAAAAGCTGGCCAATTTAATAAACAACATGCTCTCGAACAGAAATATCCAAGTGCATTGAATGGTCTCCCGCAAGGCTCTGTACTTGCCCCTGTTCTTTTTAATATCTATACCGCCGACCTCCCTGCTACAGTCTCCAAAAAATTTATATACGCAGATGACATTGCACTTTCCTGCCAAACAACTGATTTCACTAGAGGCGAAAATATCATGACTTATATCACATGACTTGCAGAGGTTAAATGACTACTTTCGTAAGTGGAGGCTTCGCCCAAACATTGCTAAGACTGAGGTTTCGTGCTTTCATCTTCGCAACTTACAAGCCAAGTATATACCGCAAGTCAAATTTGGGGATCAGCTGGTAAAATACAACTCTCACCCAAAATACTTAGGAGTCACATTGGATCGGTCTCTCACGTTCAAGCCACACCTCGCCAAGACGGCTGCAAAAATAAATACTAGAAATAATATACTGCACAAGATCGCAGCTAGCAGCTGGGGAGCAAACGCCAGGGTACTTAAAACAACTGCAATGGCCCTCACATATTCAGTGGCAGAATATTGCTGCCCTGTCTGGATAAATAGCAATCATACTCATCTCATTGACACTCGTCTTAACAACGCGATGAGAATTATAACGGGCACTATCAGAAGCACTCCGATCCAGTGGCTCCCTGTATTATCAAACATTACTCCCCCTCATCTGAGAAGACAGGCGGCCCTAGTCAGAGAGTGGGAAAAGTGCACCAGCAATGTTCATCTGCCCATCCATGATGATTGCGAAAATTTCTTGAATCGCCTGAAATCCAGAAAACCGCCATGGGTATTAGGGCAGCAGCTACTAAACTCCAACTTTCGGGTTGAAGACTGCTGGCGAGATGAATGGTCACAAAATAATCCTGACCTTCATCACTTGATAACTGACCCAGTACTCTGCCCTCCCGGATTCAATTTGCCAAGAAAAACGTGGACAACACTCAATCGGTTCAGAACTAACCATGGCAGAACCCGCTTCTGGACACACAAATGGGGACTAACCGACAGCCCTAACTGCGATTGCGGACATTCTGAACATACACCTTTTCATATCGCAACAGAGTGCCCATTAACAAAGGCGCAGTTCTCTTTAAATCGTCTTCATGAGGCTGACCTGGATGCTATAGAATGGATCGCAGAGCTAAATCTTGTAGTGTAAATTTATAGTTGTTCGTTTTTACTGTAACATTGTGATATGTCTCTTACACATCTGATTGTTGATCTTTGAATTGTTTGTATTATTGTATTAATTTCTTGATATCATGTGTACTCTTAATACGCCATACGAAATATATATATGTATAGTATCAGATTTACAAAGAAAAATCTGATGACAAAAAATCTGATGACAACCAACGTTTACCATGACTACCAACATAAAACTTTTTTATCGGCCAATTCGTTTACTTGATGCGACAGATGTTTCATTTTAATCATGTTTTTAATTTTAGATTCCTACAAACATTTGACATTGAGAGTAAAGGCTTGAGCGATATTGCATACAATTTTCTAGTCGGTGGAGATGGAGCTATATACGAAGGCAGAGGCTGGAATTATGAGGGTGGTCATTCTGTCGAGTAAGTATAACATATAGCTTGATTAACTTAACAAGCTTAAAATTGTAACTTTTAAAAAGTTTTTTAAAAATCTCTTTAATTTCAGGTACAACAGTAAAAGTTTTGGAATTGCGTTTATCGGAACTTTTACCAACACGAAACCAACCGAGATTCAAACTGTGATATGTAAAAAACTGATCAAAATGGCCTTAGAAGATAAGCATTTGAAAGAGAACTACAAACTGCTGATCGACAAGAAACTGACTGAGGAATCGGGTACTGAATTGTACGAGGAGTTAAAAACTTGGTCACATTTCTCTGGAGTAGCTTAAATTTAATATTTAAAAAAAAACGGTTTCTTTAATTTACAGGGTGTGTCAACAATAGTGAAGTTTATGATATACTCAATAAAAGTTGCAAGATTTTCTAAAACCTACTAGAAAAAGATGATATAGTATCTATTTGTGTCATTGTATAATGTAGGAAAATGTCAAAGATTAAAATAAGTGTTCTAAATTAAGATTACTTAATTTACGATTAACACGAAATATTAAAGTGTATTTTCAACACTCTGTATCATTTAGTTTAAATTGTCTCTACGAAGCTCATTTGTTCTTTTTTCTTTAACTGTTTTACCTTTTTACTTAATTTTTCAGTAAAATATTTATTATTAATACAACAAAACTTAATAAAAACTATGTACATTTATATTAATAACAAAATTACTTTAAATTTCAAAAACAACATATTAGTGAGTAGGTACTTAGCTTTCGCTCTGAAGGTGTTGTAATAACACTTTTTTGAAGCGCTTAGTATAACTCAAAAATAATTTTAAAATTTATGTATTTTAATATACCTTATCTAACGTTCACGTTTACTAAAACTATTCTATTTAACTTTTTTTCCGTAAGTCTCAAAATAAATGACATTATCAACTTTATTGTTGATTCGCCCTGTACATTTCATATAAATAAGCATTAATATTATTAGTCTCGACTCAAAACTTAAATTATGTACCTTATCAAAAAAACTAAGATTTATTTTTCCTATCAACATGGGTCCTATTCTGCTTTGTTTCGTCGCTACAGGAGGTTAAAAGTGTTCTTGTTTATATTTATTATAATTTTCTTCCAAGTGCTTTTAGCGATTCCAATGCAATTTTCAGCTTACTATGCATGTTAATACTACATATTTTAATGCTAAAAAAAGTGTCAATAGATTCACCAGGGACGTGCATATGTGTTATCACTGGAATATTTTTCTAAAAAAGACACGTGCGCCACTGACTTTTTACTCTTATTAGTAAAAGTAGGCCATTTAATGCCGATTAAGAGTTGTATCTTGATATTTTGTCTATTTTGATCTCCTCGATGACATCAACGCAATTTTATTAATCAAAATTAATAAATTATTTTATTTAAATAATTAATTAATTAAAAAAAAATGGAAAATTGTAAATTGGACTTTATATAAATCCCACAGTTTATAGCTCCTCTGTACGAAGTTGTGTCATTTTTTAGAACTTATGACAATAAAATATAAGAAAAATATTATTATTGGAGAACTTATCTGATAAAAATTACTACAAAACACATAAATAAAATTTTAAATTTCTAAACTGTGTAATTGTAACTTATAAATTTTACAATAAATATGTTGATACTTTGAAAATCTCAGATTTGTATTTAGATATAAGACTCTCAATATAATTAACCTTGTGTTATATTCAATTGTGTTATATTCAAGTCCATTTTATATGAATTTAAAATAAGTGATTATTTGTATATTATGTATATATTAATTTTCATTGTATAAGGTATGATGAAATACGTAGTAAGTCCCTTAATGATGAGACAAGAAACTTTATATTTGTATACCGAATTCAACATAATCAACAAAACTTTTAATAAAACTAATATTAAAAATATACCTTGTATTCATGTTCAATAGATATTGTATATCTATATTTTATATCTGTGTGTAATAACTCTTAGTTACTTGTATAATAAATATATATTTGTCATATAAGCAATATTTTAATATCATCACAGAGTAGAGTAGTACTGAAATATAAAATAAGTATTACTTTATTTAATTTGTAACGTTTTTAGTTCGTTACATGTCTTTTTTATATATAATATATGATGTCTGGCCTATCATCACCGGATTCCCACTCGTTCAGACCGGATAGTTTATTTGACGCGTAATTTTACGTTCCCTAGTCGCCAACCCTGTGATCGTTCGACACAACCCTGTTACTCTTCTGTGGAGGCGCTGTCAACATCGCTTCTGTCAACTTTCTGTGCTGTCGACTGATTTTTTGCTTTTAGCGCTCTGTTGCCTAACCTAACCATCCCAGCTTTTTAGAAATGGTGATTATTTAAATCTTGCTGTATAATCTGAATCAGCTGCTATTTCAAAGCAACAGGTAAAAGATGAGATATTATCCTAACGATTTTATTTAGATTACTTTTAAACTGAAATTATTTACAGCATAAATAGATTCCATTAAATGCATACACATGTTATATATTGTCTTTGTCAGATCAAATGAATAAGGAAAAGCTTTAAAACAGAATTACAACAAGAAAACATAATAATATGATTTAGTTACATTTACTTTACCTTTAATAACATTCTTTGTCACAGAACTCAAGAACCAAAATGATATCAATACGTCTCGAATGGTAGTCTAGATGCTATTATCTAACAACTATCCTCTCTGGTCGTCGCCTGATTTCCCTCTCTCTAGTTTGTGAATAATATTTTAAAAATCAATAATTTTATTTATGTATACAAAGTGTCTTAAAAATGAATATTTTGAATTTAAAGAAATATGTCTATTTTTAAATAGGCGGTTCATCTCAAGACATAAAATAATATGATAATCAAAATAACAATTATTTATTGACTTGCTTCATTACAAATAGCAAGCATAAACGTAAAATATATAACATAAAACACGCAAAAAAACAAATTAATAAATATTATTCAAAAACAAAAATAATTAATAATAATGAAAAAATCAATCCGTATAACAGTGATTACAGAATATTTGTGTGTACTCAAAACATACGAAATTGTGACACTGTACAAAGAGTAACGAGTTGGTCTGTTTTTCCGCCTATTACAATTCTGTAGTGCCAATCGTCTGGTAACACTGTATTCAGTGCTTCAGAACTTGAAATTTATTTTTCAGTATTATAATTTATTTTCGACCCTTGCCTTTCTATAATATCCACTTCTCGTTCTTTCTTTTCATCGTCATGTTCAGTAGTTAATTCGTCATCTTCGTTGAAACAGTCTTGCATGAGCTGTTGGAATATTTCTTGCAGTAAAAAATTGGAGAGAAGAAAATTTGCTACCACATAGATAAAGAACCAAAATTTTTAGAATTTCAGTGGCGCAGGTGCGAATTCTTTAATTTAGGAGGCTTGTTTTAATAACCCACCATTCTGTGTTATTTCAAATGAAAGCATTTTTGACATAAATCTCGAGACCAAAAAATTTATTAGGATACAAGTTCCTATAAAAACGATCTTTTTAATAAAGGTAAGTTACCAGTGGCGGAGATAATTTTTTTAAACGTGCGTTTTTTACATTTTAAAAACATTGAATAAGAAAAATTGCAGTTTTACAAATAATTTCCCAATATTAAATAAAATATTTAGAATATAGGTATATTGAAAAATTTATACGTTTAATAACAAAATAAGAAAAACCTTGGCTCAAAAATAGGATAACTTATCTTAAGGATAGTCCTCATTCACTTCCACATTTGTTGGATTCATACATGTGATGCCATTGCATTGACCACATGCCATAGTGCAGATGAGTCCCATTCGCTTGCATGTACATGCTTTTTTACAGCCTCCCGAAGAGCAATTGCAAATTTTTTTCTCTAAAACCCATTTAGGAGCAATGGGCTGGTCAGAATGTATTGGATTCATCTCTCGATTTTTCAGATTCCAACCCCAATCTTGAGGTGGTAAATTGTTATTTAACCAAGCCTGTACCTGTAAGTTAAAAATGAGTATTTAGTTTAACATTTCAATGCAACATAAATGCAACTTACCTGATGAAAAACTCTAAGTCATAATAACATTTCGCACTATTGGATGTAGGTGGTAATGATGCCAAGTTGAAGTTGGTATTAAGACTTCGTTTAGCTACGTACTGTTGATAAGGCATGTATCTGGCACTATTCAAATCTACTTTTTTTGTCGAGTTTTTAACATATGCTGCTATAAAAAACTGGGATGTAACTTCTTCTAACTTCTCCTTTGCAGCATCGGGATTATAAAATTCTTTTAATAGCTCACATAGCTTTTTCTTCTGGATGGTGTTCACTAAATTAATCATTCCTTTATTGAACACAGCAGACGTTGTGTCACAACCAGATATAGCGTGGACACTAAGAATCACATTCTTCAGTTCTCCCAATTTTTGTTGTAAGGCCGATATGTCGATTATTTTATTTGGTTTTGACACCATTCCCGGACGAATCATAAACAGTCTCTTGTGGCAATAATGAATCAGTAACACTATAATGTCCGTATATTCGCTAACTACTGCTACGGTCCCTTCTTGTAAATTGTCACTTATTGCGACCGCTGTAGGTATCGGCATCACCATCAGCAAATTTAACATTGATTCCATTTTCCAACAATACTTTTTCGAGCGCACGAATAAAGTTGCTTTTGTTGGTGTTGTTTGACAAAAAATCTGCCTTTGGTAACTTCACTGCAGATAAATTGGAGATACAATAATTGGTACCATTTTTTTACCTGCAGATCTGCGATTCTGCTCCACAATTTAGGTCTCTATCTCTTCATAGCCATCAAAAACAAGAGTGACATTTTTACCATAGTGATATGTTATATAATTATAGTATTGAGAAAACAGATCTGAAAATATCGCAGGGTACAGGCTTGGTTAAATAACAATTTACCACCGCAAGATTGGGTTGGAATCTGAAAAATCGAGAGATGAATCCAATACATTCAGACCAGCCCATTGCTCGTACATGGGTTTTAGAGAAAAAAAATTTGTAATTGCTCTTCGGGAAGCTGTAAAAAATCATGTACATGCAAGCGAATGGGACTCATCTGCACTATGGCATGTGGTCAATGCAATGGCATTACCTGTATGAACCCAACAAATGTGGAAGTGAATGAGGACTATCCTTAAGATAAGTTATCCTATTTTTGAGCTAAGGTTTTTCTTATTTTGTATGTATTTAACGTGTAAATTTTTCAATATACCTATTTCATGGGAAATTATTTGTAAAACTGCAATTCTTCTTATTCAATGTTTTTAAAGTGTAAAAAACGCACATTTAAAAATGTTTTCTCCGCCACTGGTATATAGGAACTGGTATCCTAATAATTTTTTTGGTCTCGGGATTTATCTCAAAAATGCTTTCATTTGAAGTTAAACACAAAATGGTGGGTTATTAAAACCAATCCTCCTAAATTAAAAAATTCGCACCTGCGCCACTGAAATTCTAAAAATGTTGGTTCTTTACCTATGTGGTAAGAAATTTTCTTCTCTTCAATTTCTTACTTGTGACTTTTTTTCTTAAAATTCGTAGTTTTAGAGTTATTGAAGAAAAAGTAAAAAAGGGCCATTTTTACCCCTTGTAGGGGTGGTTTTGGGGTAACGGGCTCAACGGTTCATCGCTGGAGTTTCAGGATGTTAAAAGATCTACAAAATGAAGCTCCATGCAAAATCGCAGCTCGTCTCTAATTTGTTGAAGGTCACCCATGTAAAACGATGTATCGGCCCTGAGCTAAGAGTACAAAAATAATATTTATTTAATAAAAAAAGTCGATTATTCACTTTTTTATCACAATTTGCTCATTTTCAGTTAAAACAAATCAGTAAAATAACTTACCTTGTTCATTCCTTGACATTATAAAATTATTGATATAAAAATAGTATCACAAACGGTCGCAACAAAGGCTCCGCATATGAGTATAAAAAGATACTAACTACTCTAAACGATGTGCAAACGTACAGTTCTCATAAAATATATTGAGACAGGAAGATACTAAGCGGCGCAGCATCTGATGTTTCCAGATTTTCGAATTATCGGGAAAAATACGTACCTGCGGACTGTGAGTCCGCGCGCGTACTAAGTTAAAATCTCTTGTTTGCAACAGTTGCTCCCTTAATATGCACTAGACTAACACTCTTTGAACTGTAGTTCTGAACATAAATGGGCAAAATTCTATATATCTAAAGAAAAAGGGAAATTAATCACCGCGGCCTTATAGATCCATTGTGTATCCCTTTCTGGAGTTAAAATTTATCAATTTTTTTATAACAGTCTCAGGGTTTTAACAAAAGTAGAGTATCTGAGACGCTTTTACACAGGTTAGTTCTCCATCTAGGCAACTGCCCAGCTACGTCGAAACACCGCGCACCGGTTCCCATTAGAACACCGAATTTAAGCGACGCGTAAGTCTATGCTAGTGGATGGACGGGTGACCGGTTCGAAACTCTGTATCGTGCTGTTGTCCAAAAAAAAGGCAAAAGTGTAAAATCTATTAACACACACTGCTCATTCACGCCGCCTGTTCGAGGCCGGATGAAATCGGATATCTCGTGAGTAAGAGTCGATTTAGACACTTGCCAAGTCGGTAGGCCATTGACCATGATATGGACGAGGACCGCGGTTCGGATTCCGCGTAAACAAAGTAGGCCCCGTCCAGATTAGCCCCGGCAGCAAAAAAGAGACGTTAACTGAAATTTTTACTTTACTTTACTTTAGTTCTCCATCTCCGTATTCAGTCGTATCAAGTTGTTTCTTAGCTTCAATCTAACGAGGTGTTTATTGAAAAGACAGGGTCCTGTTAAAAATGTCCGTGGCAATCCGAAGTTCTTACTTAAATCAAGGAAAATCTTCGATTTTTCTCGGTCGTTCTGTAAAATTTCTTCGAGTGTCTTAGACCGTTGGAAGATTTCCATTCCAAGTTACGG